GGTCCAAGAGGCGGAAATCATTGGAGACCAAGTCTACTCGAAACGGGACAAAGTCTGTCCATCAAATCGGTCCCCGACAGCAGTGGATAGCCGAGTAACTCGACGGGAATGTCAAATGTACTTATGCTGTCTCAGGCGAGCACCTCGGCCTCGTTCACCAGATCGAGGCTCATATCGCGCTCCGCTTCTACACCTTCCCTTGTGCCTTCGACTGGCATTGACAGGTGAGTGCTGAACTGGCATGAGCTCAGCTTATTCCCATCGGGCCGCTTCAGACCTGGCTTCCGGCTGAGCTACGGTGATGCCTCATTGGTAAGGGGGATCTTACTCCACAGCGGTCTTGTACCTAGGGAGCATGGACCTGACTGGGTCCTTTCGTGGACAGGAAGTCTCCCTAAGGAACAAAGCTTTCAACACTTACAGGTAATGCATAGACAGATTATCATTGGCGATAATCGGTAGCCTTGGTGCGTCTTCCGATGTCACATCCTTGAATGTAGCTGGCCCTTGTTCAGGAATGGCAGCGAATCAACCATTTCCCGAGTTCCCACGAGCTAACACGGAAGGATCGTCTGTGGGCGCACTATGCAGCCATGCGGGAACTCTTCGGTGCTGAAGAGTTCGACTATCTTCCTGAGACCTTTGTTCTCCCGGATGAAAAGAAATCCTTTCTGGAGGTACTGATAGGATCCGTCTTACTCTCACTGAACATCCCCCCTACACATAGGCCCATGAGAATCATCCTTCTTGGCTATGGATTGTGAAGCCACCTTCGCAGTCCCGAGGACGGGGAATCTTCATACTGCGTGATCTGGAAGATTTGCCCACCGACTCTTCATGCGTTATCAGCCGCTATATTGTCGATCCTTACCTCATCCAGGTGAGCCAGCATCTTCGTTTGGACCACCTTCTTATGTGCTATTAGGGCTATAAGTTTGATCTCCGAGTCTATGTCCTGGTCACCGGTTTTGATCCCCTGCGGGTGTATCTATATCGGGAAGGGCTCACTAGGCTGGCCTGTAGTCCCTTCACAGTGAAGACTGCGGAGGACCTGCAGAACAAGTGAGCAGAGTACGC